AGTATGCACTAGCTCCTAAAGCTTCAACTCCCCTCACAACGAATGATGCCACCGTAAACCAGGTGTATTCTTCAATGTAGTGGAGGGTTCTACAAAAAATCAAAAATTGGTACACCAGCTTTGGCAAGTGATGTTAGTTTACAAAACACAAATTCATGGCGAATAAGAGAAATTCATCTGTGACCTTTTGCATGTAAAATTATTTTTGAGGTCAGAATTGAAAAAACTTGAAGAACATAAAATTCTTTCTGGATAATATTTGACATTTCATTCTTTTAAATGGTTTTTACGTGTATTGATTGCTTATTATGTCACTAATAATCGACCTGTCAGTGTTCAGTATCCAAGGTTCAATTTTCAGCTCGATAGTATTACATTTTTTATTTTTTTTCAGATTTCAGGTTAGCCTTTGAACAATTTTGAACTTACAAATTACAAGTTGTGTTGGCATACAATTTTGTTCCGTTTTGACACTTCTATACATGTTTCCTTGTATCTCGTACCATAACTGTGGTTGACGACTTTCAATTTCATTCTTATTCTTCATTAAGTGAATAAACCTCTCTTACGTCGAAGGCTTGACCTAATTCGAATAGTTCATCACTTGGAAATGAACTTTTTCTCTCAAATCGTTTGAAAAAAAAGTTTTCAAGTGATTCACATCTGAATATATTTCCAATTTGAACATCCCATCGTAAGTGTCGATCTATGATTATTTTCCCATATTTTACTAATTTGGATTTCTGGAGCTGTGAGATCTTCATCTCCCAGGTGTGACAGATGTCATATGTATTTGAGGTAAGTAGCGTGTACCTTGTTTCCTCTATATTTAAGGTTAGTTTATTGAATTGAAACTATTGTTTCAAGACCTGATTCTCTCTTCCATATCCGTGAAGACCATGTATTTCTTTGGTAAAGAATAACAGTGTCATCTGCAAAACTGATTGTTATTTCTTAAGTGTCCATTTTCAAAAAACTATTGATATTTGAGGTGAAGAGTACTACACCAAAAACAAATGGCTGTGGTACTCCATATATTACCTCTCTTGACGTGATATTTACTGTTGCTGCATTCTTCCAGATCCTTTCATCAAGTCATATATTTTTCCTCCAATACTTTATAATTCCTCATCAATAACGCAATTGAAAAGCATGGAGAGTCAAAAGTTGTTGCGCTAGATATTTCTAAGGCCTTTGACCATGTGTGGCATGAGGGTTTGCTGGCCATCTTTGATGATATGGCTTGTCGTATCATTTTTGTGTATGGCACTACAGCTTCCTGAAAGAACGTTCTGTGCAAGTGGCCGCTGGTGTTTCTTAGGGACCTATATTGTCTCCAACCCCCCTTTTCATTGTATATCAAGAATCCAACATATTGCTTTGCTGACGAAAGCACACTTGTCTCGTCAATCCATTTGAATTCCAAGACATTGGTTGCGGATGCACATCTTCATCGGCAACAGGAGGTTGCATATCTTACTGGATCTGGATCTGGAAGTAAGTAATTTCGAATCGGGGTGAAAATAATCAGGTTCAATTCAATGCCACAAAAATCGTGGCATCAGTTTTCTCCAAAAAAATAAATGTCTTCGAACCGAATATAATAATGTCAGGTCAGACAATTCTGCTTCGATAAGTTTGTTGGGGATTGAAATAGACACCAATATGTTTTGGCACAATCATGTCGCTAGAATTGTAAAAGCAGCTTCTCAGAAGCTTGTAACACTGTTCCAAACAAGAAAACTGTACACACCTCGACAAATTTTGATGCTTTATAAAGCTCAGATCAGACCTTCTTTGGAGTATTGTTCTCGTGTATGAAGCTCCGCCCCTAAGCTCACCCTGAAGCTGCTAGATTCCATCTATAAAAAAGCCATCCGCCTGAACATCACTTGCAACCTTGATAGTCTGGACCATCGAAGAAAGGTTGGAGAGTTGTCTCTCTTTCATAGATACTTCCACGGAAGATGTTTAAGTGACTTGGCACATTTGGTTTCACCAACTTTGAACTATCCCCAGTTGACCAGTCTTTGGTATCCCAAACTCTTTGTCAAATAAAAACCAATGCAATTGTATATGATGGTTTGAATATCAAAATGATTCTTCTATGCTGTCCAGTAATTCTTCCTTATTTCACCCATATCATCAAATACTGTCTCACCAATAATGTGTTTCCTTCAAATTGGAAGAAGGATCTAATATTACCAGAATGTGATTAGTTTTAAGTACTACTATAAGAATGTTTTGTTGAAGCAATAAACCAAATAATACATTTCAGATCCCTAAGTTGTTAAGAGTCCCTATTATTGTTTTTTTTCAAATTATGTATTACAGGCATATTCCATAATGTTAAACTTGTGTGAGGTTAAGTGGTAGAACAAATCAGTAATTTTGAATTATTGATTTGAATTTCGCCTTTGACGTCAGCCCTAGGATCATTAATGCTCCAAATGTAAAAAAATCTATATGTATCCTAGATTGACAGAATAAAGACACATCATTATTATTATTATATCAGAAAAACGCGACGGACTGTGGCTGGTCATTGTTTTGAGGTTCAACTCGGTACACCTCGAACTTTAGTGTTTGTGAACTCACATTGGATTTGAATCTCCATGTAGTGCTTGTCTTTTGTCGCTTGTCTTCATTAGTCTACTGCATTTTTAACTGGAGAAAATACCTTTTTGCTAAAACAATTCATTTTCTTTTGTAGATACATCACGCTTTGTCACCTTTTTCACTATTTATTTTGACATTTGTTTTTGGATAGGCCTGATAAAAGCTAGTACTACTACTGGATGATAATGCAGCGAAAAAAACAAATGATGTCGTCATGTCAATTAGTATATAAAGGACATAAACATTTTCATAAAGAAGACGTATATAAAGCGAAGATACAAAAAAGTGCTTAAATTATTTTTCCAAATGAGCGAAAAAAATCAATCGTTCATTTGGAATTTTTACCTTTGAGTGAACATATAGTTATTTACTAAATTATAATTTCCAGTTTTATGTTTGTTGACATGGTGAATCGCAAATCAATAAAATTATATCTAAATAATCTTCTTCGACCTCAGCCACCAGTAATTCCTAATTAATAAAAACGTTTTCAGGAAAATAATTGAATAAAGATTTATGCATGTAAACACAAACCTTGTACTTCCAGATAAGTAATCACCGAATATGCTAAATTATTTTCTATATTACAATAATTGTCGAGTTACTTTCAAGGCTTATTTGTTATCGAATATTTGCCTTTGTCGAAACTTTTATTACCTGGGTTTGATGAACCAGAGGCAGAAGGTCAGTCAATGCGATCCGTAGCCCCAGACATCACTTGAAGATTAACCGCATCAATCCTGAATCCTGTCCGTTAATATGTTAATACTTATTGGGTTGTTTGAAAAATATTGTCTGTTTTAATGTCATGTGTTTAGTAGCTCCATATCTCAATAAATATTTATTCTACTGTGTATATACTGGTCAATAGAGAATTATGTACTTTATACATTGATGAGGTTCACTATTTCCGAATTTTTATTTTCTGCCTCTTTTCAGCTTATTAATACAGTGCATTTCTTTAATGCACCTCCCCTTTTATTTTTGAACGAATCAACTCAAAAAATTGAAATTTAGGACAATGAAATTAATGCATGAATATCTACTTTATTTTGAAGTGAAATTGACAGATGAAACTTTCAAGATGGCGACTAGGCGCCATCTGGAAAAAAAATTAAATGAAAATGGGGGTCTTGTGACACATAATTTTGAAGCTCCTGGCGAATACTTCACAACCCTAGGATATGAAGTCAATATCTTCACCTACTACAAAATGGCGGAACATTTAATAATTTCCTGATGATAAACATTAATATCGATATTTCTAGANGCGCCCAGTCGCCATCTTGAAAGTTTCATCTGTCAATTTCAATTCAAAATAAAGTATTCATGCATTAATTTCATTATCCCAAATTTCAATTTTTGAGTTGAACCATTCAAAATATAAAAGGGGGGACAATAAAGAAAAGCACTGTATATGATTTCGTTAAACGATTTACCGACACTTTTTCTCTATGAATTCAAATTGAACCAAAGCGTTGCCGAAACAGACCGAAAAATTAACCAGGCATTTGGTAATGATAATGTTAATGAACGCACTGTTC